TCCTTGAGTGTGGTGGTTTCCAATCCCAGGAGTCAAGTAAACTTGATTTTTCGTTCAAAAGTTCTGTATTTCACGGCTAAACTATTTTCTGGGAGCAGAGGAGTTGCTTCACTTTCCCGGGATGCATATGTTAAGTCCTTTTAAAAGGGAAGGAAATTGATGGTACTACTCCTGTTGATCGTATTTTGAACTAATTTTTCTGTTGATATTATTGTTTGTAAGTTAACCGGCAAATATATGACAGTATTCCTAAAAAAATAAGGTTCAAAAACTTTCCCTCCTTCCTATCATTTTTAACTAGTGTTTATGCTCTGATCAGAGTAAATAAGCGCCGCACACAAGGGCGCCTTTTTTTAAACCCGATTCACGTTTAGCATTTATTTAAAGTTTGTTTGCAGTCATCATCACTGCAGTACTTGAATTTGCGCTACACATCACTTTCGGATCGTGCGATACCAGTACTTGCGCGAACATTACGCTCCCAACCATCGCTGACGGTTCTACACCTGGAAAACGTTTCTCTGGCCGGACGAAACCTGATTCTAGTTGGTTAGTGGTAGAATTTATGAATATTCACAGCAACATAGACTCATAATTCGAAGTTTGATTGCCCCTGATTCGGCAGCAATTTCTGAATAATTCTAGGTCCGAGGACTCATGTGACATATGCTTTCTGATAGACAGTAGCTTGAGATTCTCTGAGATGTTCTAGAAAATCTATGTTTTGGATTCTTACAAGCCATATTTAATGTTGATGGCTGAAATTGAAGTTTTTTGGTCTTTAACTATGCGCAGTTCCACTTTCTAGTCATAAAGAGCAATAGCGATCTTGGCGAAGAATACGGCAATCTTAGTGATATCCCCGTTGAGTCGCAAAATGCCTCACATGCAAGTCAGCCTTATGCGCATGTTCAGAGTGGAAAAAGATTTGTCGCAAGTAACAGTGTTTCGCAAGACCGTAAGTATGTGGCAGAATATTCGTTCGTGATGTTAGAATTGCTTGAAGCATCATACGCGGTGCCCACTGCTTGTAAGCAAAGCGCACGAATTGAAGGCTCGATGAGTTTTCTCTCTTACCCTTGGCGGGGTATCTTGCTCACCATTCATATCACTGTGTGGTATCTTACTAAGAAAAAGTGGGTCGTGGTTTGGTGTGTATGTATAGCACTAAAAATGCTGCACACTGTGTAGAGCGTCTATAATGAAAGGCGTAACATCGGATAAAAAATAGTTGTGTCGTGCGACCGGTTACAGATCAGCTTATTATTACTTAATTTTTATTTAGCACAGTGATCGAAACATCTGAAAATGATCCAAATTAGGTCGTGTCGGAGGAATCCGGATCGAAGAAGAAGCCGTAATATTTGCACTTTGTCTCAAAAAGTAGTAGAATCTGTTTTAGGCTGTGCACTGAAGACGAATACGGTGCTCCGCGAACTTTATTTGGGTGATAATAATCTACAAGCTGCTGACGGCGCACATATCTATCAACTGATAATTTCAAATGTTTCTATACAGCTGCTTGATTTAAGAAACAATCAGTTGCAGGTTTATTTTATATAAATTTCGAATTAGTGGGACTTCCGGCAATACCGTACTATGGTTTGCTTTTTAGCATGTCTCACCATTACATTTGCCACACGATTCTCAGAATTTTGTAAAATGTAGTTGGGTTCTAATTCGTTTCCTTTGGAGAGCGCGCATCAGTGAAGTGCTTCTTACCTGGAAATTTGCGTGGTGGCACCGCTTCCACAGGGCTTATATTAATCCCATAATGCTGTTTTCTGAGCACATGTGCAATGTTACATGATATTTTCGGAAAAAAATAAAAATAGTTCGTACGCCGAAGTAGTCTAAAGCTCAGGTCGCCTACTAAAAGCAGCCTGAAGCAGCCCTCTGAATCGGGGTTCGTGTCTTATTTTGCTACAAGCCTCCAGCGTTCATTTTTTTTTTTTTTTTCACGAAGCGAAATGTGAACTGAATAAGAACGAGCACCAGCAATTTTCTTTTCATAGTAACAAAGGCATCAGTCTCTTGAGGTGCTACTTATGCGTGTAAACTTTTGCCCCACCTATGTTTCCATCTGTGGATTATTCCCCGTCTCTTCTTGGAAGTGGAAGCTGCCTCACGATTATATCGAACAGTTTTGCTACTTACGAAATTGCCGTTACTGGTTCCTGGGACGGAGAACTAGGGGGTTTCCAATTAGTGAAATATTGAGGATTCTTCACGGATGTTCTAATTCTAGGATGGCGGCCTTCGTCATATTTGTGATGCCTTAAAACATCGCGATACAACCAAACACAGTGCATTATCAGCATTGGTATTATGGAATAACCGTATAACAAGTGCTGGATTGGAAGCCTTGGCACAGGCACTGGTTGGTTAACTGTTGCATTG